GAAAGGAAAGAGGGAATTAAGCAAGTCAACGTGGTGACCCAGAAAAGATCATTTCTCCCGTTTGGTGGGTGGGGGAAATTACGTGACCCATGCCCCCCCCCCTTACTGGAAGAAAATATCCTTTCTGGGTCACCCTGTCGACTTGTTTAATACCCTCTTTCCTTCTCTTACTTATTTTCCCTTCCCATGTCTCTCTCTCTCTCCTTTTAATATAAAATCTTTTCTTTTTTCTCTCTCTTTTTTCCTTTTGTCTGAATAAACTGAACTCCATTTATTTATGTATAACTGGTCTGAAGAGATAGACATTTGAGGTCCATGAAATAAATTATAACCTGACTGAATGGATTTTTAAGAATTCTGTATTTATTATTATATTGCTCTGTTCTTACATTGAGGTCTCTTTTTGATTTATATCCTTTCTTGGAATTATTTAGTGACATATATATATATATATATATATATATATATATATATATATATATATATATATATATATATGAGAGAGAGAATTATATGCATGGGGGAGAGAAAGAGAGTGATTATACATTAAGAATATTGGATATATATAATATATATATATATATATATATATATATATATATATATATATATATAAATATATATGTATTATGTAAAGGTGGAGAGATTATCTTTGTACAAATGAATTAAAAAAAAATCTGTCAGTCATGATTTCATTTTTTTTCTTTATAACTGTCAGCCTGGAACTGATTGCCATTTTTAAAAGCAATGCTTCACGATAGAAACTTTTTTTATTCTTGTTAATAACACTCTTGCATCATTACCTACTAATATCAGTCCTTATCATATATTCCTGGAAGCAAGAATCTTACTAATTCTACAAACATATGATAGAGAATTAATAAGTCTTTTGTCTGACACTTATTGACTCAGAGGACATTTCAGATGCAGACTGTGTCATGTTCTCTTCAAGTTAAAAAACCTAGCAACCAGATAGTAATAAAATGTTCATGGGTTTTGTATTATTTACAAAGGTGGTCACAACTAAAGCTTGGAACGAAAAAATTACATATATAATGCACATTTATAAGTTTGCCATTCATCTGATGCTAACCACCAAACAACTCCCTACAAATACTTGGTTTTATGTTTACCATGGACATCAAGTGCAGTGATTATATTCAATCAATTTCAAAGTCTGCTGATAGGAAATTCAGTTCCTTGTGTTGTGCTAGATAATTTTTCTTGCCAGAATTTGTCTTACACATTTTTAAGGATACCATTCATCCGTGCATGGAATATTGCTGCCACATCTTGTCTGGTGCTTCTGCTATGTATTGAGAGATTCTTGAAAAAATATAAGGAATAATCTGCAATGTTAATAGTCCTGACCTGGCATCTTGGTTACAGTCACTTTCCCATTACCATATTGAAGCTTCCCTGTATCTTTTCTATAAATATTTTCACTAATTTCTTCTGATGAGTTTTCCTTGATGTGGTTTTATTTTTAAATTTTGTTATTTTTATTCCCCACCCTCAAAACAAATTGTACATATGGGAACTTGTTAGAACTACATAGAGACTTTGAGGTATTATGGTGACTGTAGTAAGAATGGTAAGTAAGAAGGTGCTAATTGTGGCTAGCAAAGATAAGACAGATTGAAGACCAGTCTTTCATTATCCCCCCCTCTTGAACTTGTGCCACATTTTTATATTTTTCAAAATAAATATTGCTTTCCTCTCTGGTATGTCAACTTCACAAATTTAAGCGCAATGCTAGATTACCAGCTAGGTGTTACCATTTTGGTATTGAAATTTCTACTTGTAACAGCAAATTTTATTCTAATAGTTTCTTCTCTCACACTTCTCACCTGTGGAACTCTCTTCCGTCTTCCTGCTTTCCAATCAACTGCGATCTTAAAAAATTTAAACACAATGTCAATCATCATCTGTAGTCTCCATGAATCCTGTTCTTTCATCTATTTCTTTCACTTAGTAAATTCTTGCATTTTAGTGGCTTTATTGCCTTTTATTGCCTTGCTTGGAGTGAAAGGTTTAAAAAAAATTATGCAAACAAGTCAATGAGAAATGGTTTGACTATGTGGTCAGCCATTGGTCATTTTTCTTCTCTTTTTACAGCCAATAAGCAAGCAGATTGGAACAGAAAGAGTTGTCAGTGTGAATTAAACACCTGTCCCAAATTAATGACTTATTTAATGGTCAGTAAATATAAAATAATTCAAGTATTGCAATAAAAACCAAAAGTACCATGAAGGAACCTAGTCAAAAATGGATAATACCTGCATCTAAAATATTTTAACAACTTAAATCATAATCTACTACTACTATTACTTAGTCCGATAAAAAAAAAATCTTCCTTGCTTTGCTTCTTCCCATCCTCAGTGAAGGACAACTGTATTTAAGTTTTTGAATTCAGTGTTGTCCATCTCCTAGACTGATTTCCAACCATGGCTAAAAAGCCCAGGCTGCCTTACTATTTGACCCATAACTGTGAGGAGATGAGAATTTTTATTTTAAAACCATTCAATCCAAAGCAAGTCAATGTAGTTATATCTTTAACTAGAGTATTTGTGCATCAGCGAATACAATGAACCTGGTTGAAATTCAAGCTTGGCTGTTTTCGCATTTTTTGTTAGTATCAATGATATCATCCACACACCTTTAGTCCATGATTCTCAATGGAGGGAAAATGATGTCAGTGGGTCTCAAAAGCCCTTCTAATCATTATTCAGAAGCTGGTTACAAAGTTCCTTTGCCTTCATCACAATGATGAAGATGTTGGCCACTTAGTTAAAAATAAGAAAGAAAGAAAAAAGTAGAAAAGAAGAAGAAAGTAGAAAAGAAGAAGAAAGTAGAAAAGAAGAAGAAAAGAAGAAGAAAGTAGAAAAGAAGAAGAAAAGAAGAAGAAAGTAGAAAAGAAGAAGAAAAGAAGAAGAAAGTAGAAAAGAAGAAGAAAGTAGAAAAGAAGAAAAAAGTACAAAAGAAAAAAGTAGAAAAGAAGAAAAAATAAAAAGAAGAAGAAGAAAAAAATAAAAATAGAAATAAATAAAAAAATAAAGAACAGATAAATAATAGTGTATGGTATACGACAGTAGCTCTAAAAGTTCATGTAGATATGGTAGTATCTACAGTATACTCTATAGGATGTATGAGTAAATGTAACATTTATCAGCAAAAAAAAGTGTGAGCAGAGATTTAATTCTGGTAATTTTGCTGTTGTCATGCTTGATTGCATTCGACAGAAAAAAATCATTAGATTTGCAAAAAAAAAAATTAGTACAAATATTCAACTCAGATGAAGCAAAAAAGTTATTTCATAAAAATGCTTTCAACCTCAACGTTATGATCAGATGGTTCTTATTTATCCTGGTCATAATATCCATGATAACAGCCTTCAAGAAATCAATGGGTTAGCTAGTTGACTTCCTTCTCAACAAGGCCCCAGATATTGCAATCCAAATCATTCAAAGATAGTAAAGTTATGTTAGTGGGTAGAAGGACATGATCATGAAAATATCTTAGCCAGCCTGATTCACATAAGCCATTAGGAAGGAAGTAAAGCTCTTCTGGAAAGCATATAGTCAATCTTCTTTGGACCAGGGCTTGACCACCATGTCTAGTGTCTTTGATGTGCCCAATGGCATTGAACCTAAAGCCCTGATGGAAGAAGTGGAATAGCATAACCAGGCCATCATTGCTCATGATCACAAGAAATGAGACAAATTTTGTGAATATGGTGAGCTACCTGTCATTTCTGCTTTTCACCTGGCCAGTTTAAAGAAGCTGGCAATATCCAAGTTGGTGTAGTCCTGGATATGATGATAATCTACATCTGGCAGCAAAGCCTCTGATCGGGAGATTGGAGGTTTTAAGAAGAGTGGAACCACCTCTTAATTGCCGTTGTTCCCAGGCACATGTTTATCTGGAGTGGTAGCACCTGTTAGGGTCCCAGCTATGGGCAAATAGTTGAACCCCCAAACAATACACTATGAAAGTATAAAAAATACATTTTTATAGTAAAAATGCCAGCAATACATTTTTATAAAATTACCAAAAATACATTTTATAGCAAAATGACCATAATGAGAGCAAAATGAATTTTATTTGTAGTTCAAGTCATAAAACTGTGTTCAAAATATTTAGATTTTGGCATTAAATAACCCATAGAGGTGTTGATATGTCGCCAAACAAAATCAACCATCTGAGTTGCTGTGATTGGTGTCTCACACCATGACCATGCCATCCCTTTTCTTTTTTAGTATCAGATTGAAAGCTGCTGTGTTAATGCTCTTGATACATCTGAAGGAGATCGGGGAATACAGAAATTTGGCACATGCAAAGTAACAATAGAATAGCAGTTAACCCAATGTTAGATCATAATGCTAGGTCTTCTATTTATAACCCACTGAAGATGTGTTCTTAAATATATGTTGCACTTTGAAAACTTCTCTTTAGACTGGTATCTGTGGTCTGATGCCAGACTATGTTTTGAAAAAAAAATATTTTTCACCAATACAATGCTCAAGAGCCACTCATGGTAGAGGGATACAATCAACAAAATGGTAATGCTGAATGAGATGTGTAAAATGAATGGAAGGGGCGGTGGCATGAAATGAAGATTACAAGAAGGTGGGAAGATAAGGATTGACCCTTGACTTGAAGAGGTCAAGATTAAAGTGTGCAGAGAAGCATCCACTTGGGAGTCTGTTTCATAATGTAGCTGTTCAGGTTTGGTTGGTTGATTTGTTTTCTATGACTTATCAAAAAACTTTATTTAAAACCAGAAAATATTTTAAGGCTGTAAGAGTTTTTTTTTTAGATAATGATTTAGAGATAAAAGTCTTACTAATTAGCCCATATTTAGGGGGTTAGAAAGGTGGATTCATTCATACCTTTCCCAAGGGTATTTATGCATAAATGAATATAATGAACTCAACTGAAATTGGAACTCTGATTAACAATTCCAAACCATTAACTGTTACATCACCTGCACATTCAAGCTTACAGCACCTGGTATTCCCAAACTGTCACTCATTTAGCTACAGACCAGTCTTGACATTGCTTAACTTCAGTGATCATACAGGAACTGGTGTTTGAAGATGATATGGCTGTAAGCATATTTCTTTGGAATATTGCTTCACCAGAAAATGGTATGAAACTATAACAAGCAAGATTGGGATATTAGTCAGAGAAAAATCACTGTGTATAATAATAGTAAAATATATTGGCCATTTGTTAACTCATTAACAGTTTTGAGTTTCATTGTGGTGTTTTAAACATTGACAAAGGGACATCAAGATTCATGCCTTTCCTCAACAATTGCATTTTTTAAAGCTGATAATCATCATGAAAAATTCACACTTTCTGTAGCCATCATTATTAAATAATAGTTGAAAAAAGATATTCCATGTGTTGATATGATATCGATTTTGGAAAAGTCATTTCTCTTGAAGTTCTGAAGGAGGATAGAAAGAAGAAAGAAAGAAAAAAAATGGCTACCATTTCTAATTCTGTTCTATTGATGAAAATTGTACCAATTGATTGGGAAGGATGATTTCTGTTGGTGCAAAAACTCTGTTGGTTGAAGGAAAAAAAAAAAAAAAAAAAAAGAATTTATGAATCAAATGTACTAAATTATTTTGTCTAAACCCAAAGAATTTATTGTCCTTAGCTGGTGTGAGAATGCTGTAAAGAGAAAGGGAAAGTGTGTGAGTTAAGAAGAGGAGGACAAAGACACAGAAAAATTTGGGGTGCAGAGACGGGGGGGAGAGAGGAAGAAAGAGATGCGGGGGAGAGAGGAAGAAAGAGACGGGGGGGAGAGGAAGAAAGAGATGCGGGGGGAGAGGAAAAAAAGACATTTAAAAGAGGAAGAAATTTTACGGGGGATTTTTTTTTTAGAGGGGGAGAGGAAGAAAGAGACGGGGGGGAGAGGAAGAAAGAGAACTGGGGGGAGGAGGAAAGAGACAAGGGGGGGGAGAGGAAGAAAGAGACGGGGGGGAGAGGAAAAAAGAGACGCGGGGGAGAGGATGAGAAGGGAGATAAGGACAAAAAAGAAAATGTGTTTAAACCCATTTGAGATAAAGCACTACTTTTCTTTTTTTTCCAAAATAATGACGAATATTACAATTTCCCGTCCCTGTGTGCATTTGTCCAAGGGAAAGCTTAAGTACAGTTTGACAGCTTGGAATAACACTGGAAAGGTGAATACCTTGCAGGTAATTAAATTTTGGTATAACCTGTATTTGTTTTTCATTTTAATTTGATTGCACCCATATCAAGTTTTCCTTCTACGGTTTTCTTTGCATAAAATCACATACTGATAAAAGGGCTGTTGTTTACAGAACAACATTTTGGATTTTGAGTAGGGATGTCAAAATTGTAACTTCCATTTTTTTTTTTTTAATCATTTCACCCCAAGCAAGGGAATAATCTCTTTATTATCACCCTTCACTACATATTGAGAACTTACTTCGACAAACATTATTGTCTAGGTCTTTTTTTTTTTTTTTTTTAATTAAAAATGTTAATTATTTCCAGCTGGTGGTGAAATGGTTTGTTTGGTCTTTGTTTTACGGCATATCAACCTCAATGGGTTATTTAATGACGACAAAATTTTTTTTTGCTGGTAATATGTTTTTCTTCAAAAATCTATTTCTGGGAATATTTTTCCTTAAAGAAATTGAAAGCTGGTCATATTTTTTTCAAAGAATATATAACTTTGTATTGCTGGTATTTTTTTTAAGTATTGTTGATAATTTTTCCTTCAAAAATTATTGCTTGTAATAATTTTTTTTTATTACAAAGTATTTCTGGTATTAAAACCTATTTTTACACAAGTTTGGGTGTTACCTATTTGCCCATAGATGGAACCCTAACAGGTGCTACCACCCCGGGTTAGGGTGGGCCTGGGAACACCAACAATTAAGAGGTGGTTCCGCGCTCCTCAAATCATCCTGATCAGTGGCCTTGCTGTTGGACATAGTTTATCATCTTATCCAGGATGCAGATGTCATTTATCGTCATACCCAGGATGCAGATGGAGTTTATCGTCATACCCAGGATGGATGGAGAAATGGATAACAGCTCAGATCAAGGAATCAGATCAGTGTTTGAATTCTAGTTGACTGTTACATTCATTTACATGCAAATACCTTTGGGAATAACATGAATCTATCTACTCCTGTTCCCAGCTATGGGTAAGTAGCAGAACAGTCTGTATTTTATAGCCTTTGGGCGGGGGGGGGCAACCAGTCTAGGAGAAAGACAATTCTGAATTCAAAATCTTCAACTATGGGTTAACTAACCTCACCAACTCACAATTGGTCAAGCATGGTAAGCATAGATACACCCCTGAAGATATGGTCAATTAAGGTGAGGTTCTTTCAAAGGTGTGGGAATGCTATGGATCTGATTCAACAAGCTTTTAATCCCTGGTACTTTTTTTTTGGTGCCAGAGACTGGTGTTCAAGTTTTGACAAAGACCAAAATTATGAATGCTGATTTTCAAAAAAAGCAAGATCTTCCTAATTGAATGATTAGTATAGCATAATTTTATTACTCTATATCTCTTTATATTTGTCCTTGTGCCAGACTTGAAGTAAGTCCTGGGTATGTTGATGCCAGATGTAGTTTCTGATTGGGAGATTGAAAGTTTTGAGGGGTGTGAAACCACCTCTTTATTGCTGTTGTTCCCTGATCCACCCTGACCCAGTTGGTAGCATTTGTTAGGGACTATAGGAAATTTACCGTCAAATAGTGGACCTCCAAACAAAAAGAAAAATTATGTAAGTACAAAAATATATTTTTATATAAAAGAATTACCAACAATTGCTATTTATAGTAAAATTACCAATAAAACAATTTTAAAGCACTATAACCACCAATACATTTTTTTTATTAAGATATACCAACAACACATTTTATAGAAAATGACTAACAATACATTTTATCTGGAGTTGAAACCATGAAATTGTGTTCCAAATATTTAGATTTTGACATAAAAATTCATATGCCACTAAACAAAATCAACCAACCAATGAATCAAGCAACATGAAAGAACTCTTCCATGACATTAACCTATATAATATCCTAGAATATTTTAAAGAAATCAAACTGTATTCCAAAATATAACTTCAACAAAACTACGACGTAAAACACACATCTCACCCCCTCTCATAATCATGTCCACACAAACATGTATATACTAAAAAGCTGAGTATCATCTACCATGTATTCAATTGTGAAAGCAGAATAACATAACATTTTTATTACTTCAAGGCTCCAAGGGAAATTAAATTTCACCATTAAATGACCCATAAAGAAGTTGATTTGCCATTAAACAGACAAACTTGAATATGAGTAAAAGCACTTTGCCACATAACAGAGCCAACTACCAGAAAAAAAAAATTAATGATATAAGCAAAATGCTGATTTTCCATATCACATTAAACAAAAGGTTAGAAAGGAAAGTGCAGACAGTAGAAGAAAGAGCAATAATAGTTAGTGGACTTGAAAAGCTTATTTTCCTGAAAAAAGTTTAAAATGTGAAAGATTTTATAAATTTCAATCAACAATAATTCCATTTTGCCAATGAATACTGAATGTTTTCTTATAAGAATTCGGCTAATAATGTTAACATTACTAATGGATATGTGACCTTATCCAGGGAGCATATATTCCTGTCCTTGTGTCAGACTGAAATATGCTTAGTAAATAGCAAGTAACTTTAGGCAGTGAAAATAAAATGTAAAAAAAAAAAATAAAAAAATAAAATACATTCAGAACAAAGATGGCAGAATGTTGTTTTTTCCTGCTAAATCTTTAGTCATCATGATTAGAGCACATTCAACATGTGAATATGCAACAGGAATGACTATGTCGGAAGTTTCAATTCCCCAATCCTTCATCAGAAGTGACTCAGAATCCAGGGTCAGTCAGGTTTTGTGAATTGAAGATGACAGATTAGGAGAATTTTATGCATTCAGTATTTTGTTGGTCAACAGAGAAATGCCATCAATCAAGATGAATGACTTTTTTTATTTCTGAAGATGACTCAGAAGTGGGGTTCGGATAATTGAGCAGATTTTAGAAATTAATTAGGAAAATTTTAGAAATATAGCTAAAGAAACGATCAACAGGATATACAAATCAGAATATGACCAAACTAATTCCAGTGAATCTGAGCTAGTGCTACCCAGTGCAAGGATTGAACTCACAATTACTCTGCAATTAAATAAGAGAAATAAAAGGCAAATAAGATTGATTGACATCTAAAGAAAGGCTTTTTTACTAATTTTTGAAATAATTTTTGATAAAATAACAAAGATCAGGACACTAGTCTGATGTAAATAAGTTATTTTACTAAGTATTGTTTAGATAAATCAAATTTAAAAAAGTCATGGAGCACCTTTTAAAACTGAATTCATTCATCATTTTAACTGATCTAGTGAGACAAGCATGCTATTTACACCATGTTGAAGTGTCCAGTCTATAAATAAAAAAAAAAAAAAAATGTTTTTTGGAAATTTCCATTTTATTTTTATATCAAAAGAAAAAACTGTTTTGCTGTAGCACAGCTCATCAGTGTAAATATTCATAACATATATATATATATATATATATATATATATATATATATATATATAATAATGATTTGAGTAAATTACTTTGTTAACAATATTGTTAATTTGGTTCTAAAATACAATGCTATGTATTTAAAAGATTCTTGATAAAAACCAAAAAAAGAATTTTTTGCAATGTTATTTCCTCAAACTCAATGAGGATAGTAGCTAACTTCCAGGAGAGATTGATTCATTTTGCCTTCTAAAATAAAACATTTTCAGCTGACATGAAATGATGAAAGAGTTTATTGAATCAAATCAAAATTAAGTATTTTGAAATTATATATTTTGAATGTTGGTTTACTATGTCATGATAGACAATTTTCCTCTCCTGAATTTATTTTACATATAAGTCTACCATTCATCCATGCATTGAATATTGCTGCAACATCTGGTCTTGTGCTTCTGCTATGTATTTAGAGATTCTTGATAAAATCCAAAGAAGAATCTGCAATGTTATTCATCCTGAATTGGCATCTCGGCTTCAGCTACT